TCTAGATATATTCTTTAGTTTTTCACCTGTCTATCTAGATTAGAACCAAAAGTTCCAGACCAAGTTACACACAATGAAATGTAAAATTAGTTGGGAAGGAACCAATTTCCAAGCACACGTTGAAAACTAACCTTTGATCAGATTAGTGTCTATATATGTACTTCAATGCTTACAAAAACAACTAAAAAGGCTAACTAAGTATAATATCAAAATAATAACAATGGTTGTCTCTTGGTAGAGGGTTTTAAATGATTATTTTCTAGCTCACTTTGCATGTTTCTGTATTTTATATAATGTGACATGCAATCCTTTGATAATCAGAGTGAGAAAATATTCTCAAGTTAGAACCGGTGTGATACCTCAAAACTTGAAGCAGATAAAATGAGACTGATTAGATTAAATGCAGGTAATTACTTAGCCATGAAATTGCCCTGCCCAATTAAATAAGCAGTCATTACAGTAAATGTGTGCTTTGAAGTGAATACTGCTAGATCAACTCCAGCACAGCTTTTCATGTTTGGGAATAAAAGCGTGTATGTATCACAGACGTACTAGATTTTACTACCATATGGGTACCTGTGCTTAACAGGCTCTTGTTTTTACTTCCATTATTTTTTTTAGATAGAAGCAGAGAGAGCTGGTTTTGCAATCTTTAAAACTTCCTATCTAAAAGAGAAGTATAATGAAGTCAAGATTTCAAATTCCTGGCTCCGTTTGACTTTAGTTGAACACGAGATAATTTTCTACGTCTTTTTCTTCTGATGCCATGGTCCCCAGGCTAGATATCAGGGTTGAGCCATCATTTGCTAAATTTATGTTTCGGGGTCCGTAGCTCACTACTGCTGCCACACCCATGCTCTTCAGCACAGTTGTGTGCATATGGTGTGCGTGTACGCGCGTGCGTGCATGAGTGTGTGTGTGTGTGTGTGGTGTGCTGGGACTCCTGGAAGGGCGGGGGGGGGGGGGAGGTTGCAGTCAATGGTAGCGCCATCCTCCCAGCTCTGGGGCTCTGCAATAAGCTTTTCTTCCTCACCCCTAGATATTCTGCAGGACTCTTCAGGAAAGGGGGACTGCTCCTCCTCACAACTCCTGTCCCTAGCAAGCAGTGACACCTGGCACACAGTAGGGTATCTGAACCATCTGGAAAACCTTAGAGAACAGAATACCGTTAATTATTCTGGAGTGACATCATATCCCTTTTCTACCTAGGTACCTATCATGTGACTTTCCAGGATAATTTTATTCCGCGATTGAAGAGACCTGAACGACCTATACATATAAAATCTTGACAGAGTGAGAAGTCACAATTGGACGATGATGGCAGGTTTTTTACTAAAGTTTCCTCTGTAATCACTTCGACTCTATAGGCAAAGTCTATTGACATGCCCTGCTACGTAGCTTTCAGTAGAGGTATATAATCACTAACCTATCATTTTATGTTTCTATTCCTAAACACTTCAGGCTTTTCTTTATACTGTCCCTAAACAGTATGCAATTACACAGCTCTATTATCCACTCATGTTTAGTTCTTTTATCATTTAGGTAGAAAAAGAATGAATATGGTAGCAGGCCAGTATGGCTCAGTTGATTGAATGCTGTCCCATGTGCCAGGGGGTCGCTGGTTCAATTCCGGTCAGGGCACATACCCAGGTTTCGGGCTCAATCCCCAGTGGGGGGTGTGCAGGAGGCAGCCATTCACCGTTTCTCTCTCATCAATATTTCTCTCTCTCCCTCTCCCTTCCTCTCTCTATAAAATCAATAAAAACATTTTTTTAAAGAATGAACATGGCGGCCCTGATCGGTTTGACTCAGTGGATAGAGCGTCGGCCTGCGGACCAAAAGGTCCCAGGTTCGATTCCGGTCAAGGGCATGTACCTTGGTTGCGGGCACATCCCGACTAGGGAGTGTGCAGGAGGCAGCTGATTGATGTTCCTCTCTCATCAAAGTTTCTAACTCTCTATTCCTCTCCCTTCCTGTCTGTAAAAAAAAAAACAATAAAATATATATATTTTTTAAAAGAATGAACATGGCGATTATAGATCTGCTTCACCATATGTTTGAAGCAAGTCAATTTATTTCACAAAATAATATTTAACATCTGTCTAAGAATATTGCCCTGCTATGAACAGATGAGTCATATTCCTTTTTAACATTTTCATTTTATGACTAAGGGGGGAAAGGAGCAGAAAAGACAATGTTTTCTTGTTTACAAGAACTATCTACAGTAAAATGGCATTTCTAAGATTCCTTTTTTACCCTATTTAAAATATTTCCTCACACTTTGTTTATTAAGCTATCATTTGTTAATATATAGTTTTTAAAAATTTTTGAAAGAATATATGCTTGAATAAAAGGGAATAGCTAAAAAATGTCTTCACCTTTCAGAAAAGTCAATGAATTTTACAAAAAGTAAACAGCAGTGGGGAATAAGAACATCTCTGTCAACATCAGCGCCAAAACTTAAAATCAAAGAGAATTATCACTTTGCTCTACATTAAAGCACCATTTATTCTGGAATACCTCATGCTAATCGGTGTTTTTGGAAGGGAATGATTTTTGTGGCTTTTCATCTAAGCAACGAAAACAGTGATAATGGACATCTTCCAGCTGCATACCTTCACGACAGCCAATAGGTTTTATTTGGATTAAGAAATGCAATTGTTTTTAGAAGTTGAGGGAGAGGAAAGTAACACTGACATGTATACTTTTATGCCATCAAATTTGGAACTTGAGTTTGCACTACATTTCCAGTTTAAAAAAAAACAGCAAAAATAAACCATGGACTCTAGTCTTACCAGAGCTTAATTTTCTCACCAATAGGACCTAAAGGTGACTTATAACTTGCAATTAGTTGAAATAAAAGTAACAAAAAAAAATGAAAATTGGATGCCAAATCTAATAGTATCCTCACACAGAATCTTCATGAAGGCCTGTGTACTTTTTAATCATACTAATGTGACTTATCGTGTAACAATGTCTAATGATGTCTAAAACTAAATTTATTAATGTTTGTCACAGTACATGCATAATCACAGAAATATGTTTTTACCTACTAATCACTACCATTAATAGACAAATGGTGCCTCATGGTTAGCAAAATAAAATGCTTATTTATCAGGAAGAAATCATTAAGCCATTCTAAGGAGAGTTCTAATTTCTTCAGACTTAGGATGCCTACTAAAATATGTGATCAAGCACCATCTGTTACTACAGAATTTTAAGTGCTTGCAAAACCCCTAACTACAGTACGACAGAGCCATTCTCTTAGGTTAGGCTGATTAATACCCACTTTTTGTCAAAACTACTTCAAATCAGGCAAAAAAAAGGGGGGGGGGAGAATACCCAATTCTTTCCTGGTGTTTTCCTTTATCCTAATGAATTATGACACGCCTTTCTTAACTCCTGAGGATTTATATACTGAACAACTACCCCGTTTATCTTCTTCCCTAGAGTCGGACATTCTCTGCAGGATCTAAGTAGATCCTTTGGGGGACTTCAATATTAATAACTTTGTCACTGCAAATTCACTTTTAAATGGGATAACTTTTTGTAGGGTTATCCATGTCATCCAATTACACTTTGCAAACCTTTGTTTTTTAATCTTTTATCCTCTTTGTCATACACACACATGCACATAGTGTGAACACATGTGTGCACATAGCGTGAGCACACGTGTGCATACACACGCAGGGTCTGGCCCCACAGTCCTCCAGAGTCTGGAGTTCGGCCTGTTCTTCCAGCATGGGGCACAGCTGGGTCTGGGTAATCCCTGATCCCAAGGATTCAAGCCAACTCAGATTCGAATCTGGAGATTTGGGGCTATCCCCAGACCTCCCTATGGACATACTTGGGCTCTTGTTACCTGCCAGCTATTAAAATCCCAGCTGGGTGGAGTGGGGTAGGAAGTATAATTACAACCCCCACCTCTCAGAGGAGGGAGAACAAGATCAGAATGAACTGGCCCAGGTTGCATCTCTGAGGATGGCTTTTGTACTCCAAAAGTCAATGTTTCATGCAAAAAATAAAAAAAAAAATCTGTTTTTGACAAATGTTAAGTAATTTTTCATTTTAAAGTCATTTCACCATACTATCTCTTTTCTTCACAGATATTACAACAGATTTTTAAAAAGAGAACAGTTTCTCTGTTTCATCTCCCTCACCCTCTTTTTTCCTGGTGTGTGTGGCAGCTGCTGTTTGATCTGTTCATTGGCTCTGATTTGTTTCATGTTTCAGCCAAAGATGAAAACTACTCTGTAATTCTAAGCAGATGGGCCTAGGAGTGCAACCCTATAATTATACCTTCTCTCTTTGGCCCTCGAATTGCAAGCCTTCCATCCTGACTTTTAAAGTCTGGGAATCACTAGAGTTCAGAAGACACCTTGGCAATCAAGCAGGTCTGGCCCAGCCCAACCTGTTTGCAAGGCCTGTGGAGCTGCACTGCCCACGCACCCTGCCCAAAGCAGGACTACAGAAAAATGAAACAAAACAAAACACAGCCAGGTACAGCCTGCAGGTTAACCATCTAGGTCTTCTAGTGTGGGCACAGCCTGCTGGGCAGCGCTCCCTACAATGCATTCTGCAGCTCCATCCACTGTGGGTCCCACTCAGAAATGTTGTGTCCTGGCGGGTGCGGATGTGATCTGCGGAGGTTTGGGGTGGTCCTGGTAGGTATTGGGGACGGAGAGCCGCGCTCCTGGTGGAGACGCTGGACTGAACAGTCAGGTGTCCCCTTTGAGGAAAGTTGGCTTGGGACATCTGAATCAGCCGCCGCGGCTTGTCCTAATGGTCAACACCATTCTAGCACAAAATCTGCCTTGGCGACTCCCAGGCAATCGTGTTCTTTTTCTCGGAGCAATTCCTGGAACGCTTTTAAGGCGCTGATGATCTCTGGGTAAGAGTTTACTAAAGCTCCAGAGAAAAAGGTGGCACATGAAGCACAGAAACAAAACGATCAAGCCAGGGCACCAGGAAAAAAGGGAGTCAGGTTCCGGGGAACTTACTAGACTGGTTTCCAGGATCACAGCTTGGCTCTCAGAAGTCCCCTGCGCCTTGAAGCTGGGTCCAGTCTACTTGGGAGAGAACCCCATGGCCACCCTTTCAAAAAAACACGAGTCCTAGCAAGGGGCCCAGAAACACCGCGCGAGAGCTGTTTTCCTGCTTAAATAATCCCAGTTTCTCTTTACAGTCCCATGAACGCGTGGGCCCCGTCAAGAGCCCCTCCGGCACTGACACTTCGGGAACGAGATCGCGGAGCCTGCGATTTGGTGACATCTACAGCTTGAAAATCCAAAAGTGGATAAAAGTTTCCCTTAGGACTTGGGGCAACCGCTTCAGGAGATGAAAGTCCTTCCAGAAAGAACGCTCCAGCCGCCCCGGGGCTCTGGGCGCCGCGAGCGGAGAGGGGCGCGCAGCCTAGAAAACGGGGTGAGGAGGGAGCGGGGCTGCGCTTGGCTGGCGCGGGGACCGGGAGCTGCCGCGGCGGAGACAGGCTCCGCGGGAGGATTTCTGCGGCTCGCGGGGCTCCCACCCTCGGGCTCCACCGGGCCATCAGTCGCCACCCGCCTCCTCCCCGGCACTCACCGTGGAGCAGCAGGGCCGGGAACAGGTAGGTGAGCAGGAGGCGGCACGGACAGGACATCTCCAGTCCTCCTCCGGGACCTCCGGCGCGCCCCGAACCGCTCGAGCCGCTAGGCGTCCGGGGCCCCTGCTCCCCGGGACCCGCCGCGGCGCCGCGCGCGCTCAGCCCTCGCGCCTCCAGCCCGGGAAGACCGTGAGCGGGGCGAGCGCTCGGGCGCGGGGGCACCGGGGCGGCTCCGCTCCTCGGCCCCAGCCTGCGAGCGGCCGGGCCCGGCCCGCGATCAGGCGGCCGCGGCGCGGGGCCCCATACCTGGGGGGCGCGGCGCGGGGGCTGCGGGGCGCGCGCTCCCTCGGCGCCGGCGGGCCCCGCGCGCCCGGCCCGACCGTCTCCGCGCTCCGGGTCTCTCCGCGCCCGGCCCCGCCGCGTCCCGCCCCGGCCGCCGCTGCAGCGCGCGCCTCTCCGAGCTGCCCGGGCCGCCACTGCCGCCGCAGCTGCAGCGCCTCTTCATATTTCCCCAGCGCCGCCGGCGGGGCGGCCGGGCCGCGGGGCGGAGGAGGGGCCGGGGGAGGGGTCGGAGGCGACGGGGGAGGCGACGCCGCGCCACCGCCCCCTGGGCCGCCGCGGGGGGATGGGGGCGCGGAGACTTGAAAAGGCGCGTCGGGCACCGCCTCTCCCTCCTCCCGCCTCCCTCTCCAACCTCCTCCCTCCACCCCGCTCCCCCTCTCTCATCTTCTCCTCTCCCCTCCTTCTTCTCTTTTGCCTCTTCTTCTCCCGCGCTCCTCCTCCCAATCCAAGGCCTCCTACTTCCCTCCGCCCCCCCCCTCTTTCCCTCACCCTCCTCATTCCCAACCCCTCTTCTCCCGAAAGTGCCCCTCTCCTGCGTCCTGGCTCTGCGCAACCCTTTCCCTCCTCTTCCCCAGCTGCCCACTCCTGGGAGCTTCCTTCTGCGAAGGGCTGACAGCCCTTGGCCCCGCCTGAAAGGGGGAAAATGTGCCCTTCATCCCCCCCCCCTCCCCGCCTCTACTGCGGGCAGCTTGGGACCCTTTCTGTTCCCTCAACAAGGGTGGGCGCACCACCTGTGAAAGATGCTCCAAAGGGGGTGGCGGGGCTGGAAGTCTCAAGTGGGGTCTGAGAAAAGTTGGGTTGCAAAGAAAAGTTGTGAGAGAGAGAGAGAGAGAGAGAGAGAGAGAGAGAGAGAGAGAGAGAGAGAAGAGAAGAAGAAGAAGAAGAAGAAGAAGAAGAAGAAGAAGAAGAAGAAGAAGAAGAAGAAGAAGAAGAAAAGAGGAGGAGGAAAGGAAGAGGAGGAGGAGGAGGAGGAAGAAGAAGAAGAGATTAAAGAGAAGAGTTGAGTCCTGGACAGTTGCTCAGGGTGGGGATGCCGCAGTGCCGGGCTCCCTCAGTAAGGCAGCGCTTGTTTTAACTGAAAATCCCCGTCACAGGTTGGTGCCTGGGCTCAGGGTGAGCAGGGAGCCCTGTCACAGGTCCCAGCCTGTGAAGGGAATGGTGTAGGCAGCAGGAGCCCATTCTGTTTTCCTCCCCCTTCCAGAGGCAGAGGACTTGTTGAAACACGGGAGAAATCTCAGAGAGAGACTCCCTGTCAGTCCCCCGGAAAGTGCACCCAGGCCCCTTCTGTGAGTAGTCCTCTCTTCCGGGCCAACTCTGGCTTTTTATTTACGTTCTGTGGGGTCTAAGGGTGTGTTCAATTTTGCATTGGCTCTTAAGTCCCAAAGGCAGAAACGACTTCCACTCTCTTCCTTCCCCAGGGCACAGGAAAGCTGCTTTCTGCAAACAGGGCTCCCCTGTTGGGCTGAATTGTCTGGGACTCTGATTTATCCGGAGGTCTCTCCCTTGAAGGTCCCCAGCCATTCTAGGACCCCCAGGAGCAGGTTTACTCCTGGGCAAATGTCACCTCCTCCTCACACTTAGGTGAGGCCATGGGACCACATGGAACCAAGAGAATACTTTCTGACTCAACTGTGCTGGTGTTTTCATAAATAAAGCACTTAAAAAAGAATGCCTGACTTTCTAAGAGACTGCCCTGCCCCTTAGAACAATGTAATAATTAAACCCCTTACGCTTCAGAGTTTCAAAACTAGTCAGACCTTAACATCAGTGTGAAACTTAGTAAAATAGATGTGAAAGTTTCCACTTTTACTTTACTTTTCTTTTCTTTCTTCTTTTTTTTTTTCCCCTGAGAAAGCCATGGATCTTTTGATGTGATGGAGCTGATACTGTTTGTGCTTTAATTTTTACCACCATCATTATCACCTTTCCATCTTTAATATGAAGGATCATAACTCATACCACCTGCCTAGCTCACAAGGATGCTGTGAGGATTGAAGTGCCACAGTGTTGGCAGATCTTGAAGGTGAAAGACTCCCTGCCTGTGAATAGAGGGAAGATTGTCATCATAATGCCTGTGAGCAGGAGCACTGCTTTGAGTTGGCCTTGGTCTGCAGGCATCTCTCTGGGTCAGCTTTGTCCTTTATTGCTTCACGGTCTCTCTTGCTTGTATCTGTTACTGGGTTTGGGTAGCAGGTGATGACTTGTGGGTTTGAATGTTGCCCAAGGGTCAGTCAAGTTTAAAGCAGGAACTTGATTTCCTCAAGAGTGTTGGGCAATTGAAAATGATGTAAACAGCATCTTCGGCGGCTTAAGCAGAACATGAGCCTTGTCACCAAGCACACAGCTAGGCAGTGTCTGACTTTTCTAGGTCTTTTAGTCACTTGATGCCTTTTAGTCTATCAAGGAATATTTGAAAGAAGCAAACAACAGAAGAGAGTGTTAGGGATGCTGTGTTTATGTATAAGCAACGGGGTTGAAAGTGATTAAAAATGTTAAGGTTGTTTATCACGTGTTAGCAACAATTAGATAATACATTTACTTAAATAATTATTTGATTCTGTTACTTAAAAAAGAAGAAGAGGGAAACCAGCAGGCCAGCCATAATTTGTATCATCTTGACAGTCAAGATGATTCAATTTTTGTTTTTCCAACTGGTTTCATTGGTGTGATATAAACAAGCCAGGCTGAAATCACCAGTTTGCAATTTGTTTTGCCAGTTTATTTTCCACATGTAGTGGCGTCACAGATTTAAGTTCTCGACCTTCAACATAGCATCTTGCCGGAGTTGCTGCTCCCAGATATGCCCTCATCGCCTTCTGCTTGTCTACAAGGAGCAGACTATAGCTCTAGGGTTCCCTTTCTACATTATTTTCACTTTCACTGTTAGTATACTCACTTCTGGAGGAGAATAATGGAAAAAATACAGTCTACATTTGTCTTAGAGTGAATATATGTGGCTATATGCTTAGAGTAATAGAATTGGGAGGAACACATTTCCAGGAAGGTATTATGAGCTCCAACTCGGAATCCGTCCACCTGAAACCAACACAGAGAATTTTCCCAGCCCCGTGTAAGGGCCAAGCCTTGAAGCAGGAGTTTGTGTAGCCAGGCCCTGATTATAGCATGAGAGTCCCCGGCCAGGGCAGCTGGACAGAATTCCCGAGCAGCATCAATAAGTACGAATATTGGGCACTGCTCATAAATAACTTCTGTCGCGTGGATGGGAAAGAAAAAACTCGGGCTGAGTTCTCAGCCACGCAGCACACCACAGGCTCACTTGGAGCTCCCACGATTGTTCAGTGACCAGCTCACAAGGCCTCTCACATGTTCACCCAGTGGTCTTTTCCCATAAGCACTGCTGATCCTAAACTAAGAGCCTCTATAATGGGCTCAGTCTTTGAGTCCGAACCGGCTCTTTGCTCTTCCACAGTCATTCTGAATCACGGGTACATTTTCCTGGGATATCTGCGCTGGGCACAGAGCTTGAGTGATGACCTCGGCTTGATTTTCTTAGGAGGGTGTCTCGATTTTTAGTGAACACAGAGTAGTGGAGAGCACAAACGCATTGTTTCCCTGGGCGTTGCAAGGGCAAATGCCCTTTGAAATCTATGCTACAGTTGGGTCTCCTGATGCAGTCCTTGTGAAAACTGAACGGAATGTGTGCTATCATGCAGGTGATTTGGAATTTCAGAGTCCAGGCCTTCCAGGTCTTGAAGAAATGATAGCTTTAAGAAGGGTCAGAGGAATTAAGACATTAATTTCAAATCTTGCTCAACTATGTGTATGTTTGAAAGCCTTCACCACCTCTGCATCCACAGAGGTTGGGGAGTGTCAGCAGGAATAAACAGACTTTTCTTGAAAGCTGCTAGATGTCAGTGCTAAGCTTGTGACCGGGGTAATTCCTCTGGACTATAAACATCTGGAGGACAGGAAGGGTGCTTAGTCTTTTCTATGCTTCTTTCAGCACCTGTTTTCAAAATACTGAAAACACCTAAGCCAGCGTGTTCAGCATTTTGTCTACAGCAGGATTTTATAAATGGTAAAGACTTTACATTGAAAAAAATCTTACAGCACTTCCTCAGAGGCAGAGCTAATAAAATTATCCTGGGAGTGCTTAGGAAGGGGCATACTTCTGAGTTATATTCGGTACACGTTGCATGGAGGAAGGAAGGAAGGAAGGAAGGAAGGAAGGAAGGAAGGAAGGAAGGAAGGAAGGAAGGAAGGAAGGAAGGAACAAATGAATGCTAAGCTCACAAACATTTTACTTATTTTCTATAAATGCCACAAGTGCAATGTAATCCTTAAGTTCATAAATTCAGAAGACTATGCCACTCAAAGGTACATCTAAAGTACATTTTATTTTCAAAATAGAGATGGTTCTAAATACCTTTGAGTGGCATAGTCTTCTGAATTTATGAACTTAAGGATTACATTGCACTTGTGGCAGTTACAGAAAATAAGTAAAATGTTTGTGAGCTTAGTACTCATTTGTTAGTTCATTCATTCATTCATCCATGCAACGTGTACTGAATATCAGATATATTCAACCATCCAAAAGTAAGGCTAGATGTGGATGAGAGTGATTTAGATTAGCCATCTGTTCACCCTCTGTCTCAAGTTTGTTTGGGGGGCTGATGAGAAGACCGAGGACCCGTACCACTGGAGGGAAATAATAGCAAGAGGCCATAAAGGACCTCAGTAACATTTTTGTCTGTACTTTCATGTGACTCTCATCCTATTCTTTCTCGTAGTGCTAGTTGCCTTGGATATCTAACTGCTTTCTCTGCTTAACTAGATTATTTGGCTTTTTGAAGGCAGGAAGAAAATCGGGTATTATGTTTTGCATTTTCTTCCTAGCCCCTTTACAAATCCTTCCATAAAGGGCATTTGTTGGGCTAGTAGCTGAGGCCGGATAAGATCAGACCATCAAGAAAGAGTCTTTATGAGGCCAGCACCACCTGAAGCCACTGCGGCACACAACTATAGGCACAGGAAGACACAAAAACACTGGTATTCAATCTGAGCACGCCCTGGCTTCTTACGGCACACGCAGCAACCCTCAAACATGCTGGCAAGTGAGGGGCAGCACGCCACATTTGTTAAGGAGCTAGAGGCACCAGGCTCAATCTCTCAACTGGAGGACCGTAGTTAAGTTACCTAACATGCCTATAAAATGGGGGGGGGGGGTATGCCTGCATGTAGTCAAGCACTATGTAAGCGTACCCTAAAAATAATTCACCAATAGTAATTGCTTCAGTCTAGGCCATACATTCTCAACAATGGTAAAAGTTCATCCAAGGGGGCAAAAATTGATTTCAGGGGGAAGGGGTGGCACGTGAAAAAAAAAAAAAAGCTATTACAATGGTTTGTGGCCCTCCAAAGGAACACAGGGCTTAAACAGGTGTAATGTATATCTACATTACCTTCAATTTAAGGGGAGGCAAAAGGCTCCTTGGGGCGCAAGGAAAAAGAGTTTGAGAAACACTACACTATAAGATTAGTCCTATTAAAAATAATTATAATTAACATTTATTATTAACATTTATGATAACTATTTCTTTAATTCACTGGATATGTTTTCATTACACAAAACAAAATATGTTTTAATTCAACTGACCACCTGGAACAGCATCTAACATAACATCACATTCAATATTGTTTATCTTTGATGTAGATGCTTTGACTATTATTAGCCTCTCTTTACAAATGGGAAAAAAACTAAGGACAAAGAGATTGAGTGATTTGTCTGAAAATCATACAACTTACAAGGTAAAATCAATAGGTTTTATAAATCCCAGTAAAGTGCTATTTTCAGCTTTAAGGTTGTATTTAAAAAATGCTTTTTACCTCTCAGGAGTAGAAAATTGATTTTGATGTGTTTTCAGACATTCAAGCTAAAAGGAAAATGCTGTATAGGCTATTTGCACATTTATTGTAGTTAGATTCTGAATGCTTGGTGTGGCATTTCACTGTCTTATGTGTAAAATATTCAAACAGTTTGGTTTTTAGAACAGATATTACAAATCCATAAAATGTGTGGGTAGACCAGATAGCTACTAAAATGCATCCTACTGGCTGTTGTGAGCCTCTGGATTTTTCAGTGTAGGACTTGACCAGTCCTTTCCTAATGTCCATGTCTGTGTTACTGAGTTTTGGGTTGTGCATATTCAGAGCCGTAGCTTATAAGCTGTGTGATATGGCCATTGCAAACACATTCCATCTACCTGAGTGCTAGGCTCTAACTCAGAGCTGAGAGGAAACAAAACAATCTTCTAGGCCAGCGGTCGCCAACCTTTCGGACCTCACGGACCACCGGTTGGTGACCGCTGTTCTAAGCCACCAAATTCGAGCTCACAAACTGCATAGCAATGCTTCATCTCCATATTTTTAACTTTGTGATTCTCAAAGGACTTCCAAGTACTTGGTCTCTTTTGATCTTCATGCAATTTTGTGAAGACCAGATGACAGCCAGTTTAGAGATGCAAACTTGAAGTTGGGAGAGGTTTGCAATGTCTCCACAGATCTCCTCAAGACAGACAACACTACACAATCTGAATTTCTAGACACTGGTAATACTTCAGGTGTGTGGGAACATATCAGACCCTCACTTAGAATCTGTTTGGTGTGTGTGTTTTTTTTTCTTATACAGAAACTTTGTGTTTTTGCTGCCTCTAACCTTAGGCAGACAGCAGGGGGGAAACTTTTATAAATAGACACAGGCACTCAAAGAGCCAGAGTTCAACTGAAAATAAATTAAACATATCCATCTAGGAAAACATTACATGCATATAAAGACTGGTTTTTCACATTTTGTCTCTGGAACTTTTTGTATGCTATAGCCTAGTACCAAAATTAGTTGCTATTCCTAAACTCTCAAACAATTAGAAAAGTTTCCTGCAATGGACCCACTGAGTCAAATGAAAAGCAACAAAGATGCTGGCAAAATTATACTGGAAAATAAACAAGGAGGTAAGAAACTGGATCAAATACACCAACCAAGCTCATGAAGCAAGGGTCAACAAGATGGTAAACTCATCCCGAACAAGAGAGCCAGCTTGTTTAGGAAGGATTCTCCGTGTCAGAGCCTAACGCTGCCTAGCTGACTGACCCCATGTCAGTGGCGATGGCCATACAGCTGTGAGCAAAATGGCATGACTGCGAGCGAGGCTGGCTCACAGTCACCATCACACATGGTGTCTGCAGATGCTCCAGAGATGGAGCAGGTGGTCAAGCTGTACTGTCAGGCTGTCGGCATTTACGCCAGACCTCGCTTCTTTCATCTTGGAATTTGAGAAGGGTTGAGCAACTCCAGAACAGTCGGAAGTGAAACAGTTGACCATAAAGTAGATGGGAGAAATGCCAAGCAGATACTCTTAAACTCGGGGAGGTGGAGACTATCTGTGATGGGTGTCGAAGATCTTGGGTCACAGCCAGAGGGCTCAGAGCTATGAGGAGACTGAAGCCCCTTAAAGCAGTGGTTCTCAACCTTCTGGCCCTTTAAATACAGTTCCTCATGTTGTGGCCCAACCATAAAATTATTTTCGTTGCTACTTCATAACTGTAATGTTGCTACTGTTATGAATCGTAATGTAAATATCTGATATGCAGGATGATCTTAGGCGACCCCTCTGAAAGAGTCGTTCGACCACACAAACTGCAGGTTGAGTCTGGAGCTGGGGCCAGACACCAGGTTCCCCATCTCATTTTAGAGCACCTTCCACTTTCACAGATCTATGTTTTCTCTTCTGTAATGATTAAAAACTTGGAAGGCAGAACCACATGAGGCATTATGTTTGTTCAATTAATTGTACTTCAAATTTCCTCTTAAATGTCTATCTGCTTCACTGATTCTTTCCTTTATTGCGTCAATTCTGGCTTTGCTGCTTCCAGAGATCTGCTAGGTTCTTCTGTCCTACTACCCAAGTGTTTTCTGCTTCACAGCACACTCTTGCTTATAATCATGATGTGAGTTTCTAACATTGTGAAACTCGTTGATTGAACCCTATTTGTAGTACTCATGATTTTTTTTTTTTTTGGCCCCTGTCCCAGTACCTGTTTCCCTGTGCCCCTCCTTACAGCATAGCCACTGTGACTTTGTGAGGGTGAGCCGTGGGGAGAAGACTCCTGAAATGTTCATTCTTGTTGCAGAGATGGACAAAGGACAGAAATTAGAGGCTACATTCTGGTACACATTCTGCCATACTTCTCAGAAAATCGGATCCATCTTTTCCGTAGGTGAGTGTAGAATGAAGCCTGGGAGACATTTTACCTGCCGCTGCACAGCTGGCAATGCTGAGGATGCAAGGCTTAGCAGCTCTAAGGACATGGCCTATATGGAGAGGGCAGTGGTCGGTTCTGTGCCTCACGGAAGTGAGACTAAGGCATTGCCAGCCCTGCTGAGGTTAACATGGTGCTACCTTGTCATGAATTCCATAGAAGCTACTGCCCCAGACAGACCTCATGAGACATGGCACTTTTAGAGGAGGGACTACTTGCTAGAAGAAGGCCATTTGAAGATGGCTAACACCACACATTGTATTGATTTCAGTAACAGGATTAAAATAGACCTTGCACAAAACTTTGCACGGTCAACCCTCTCCTCTCCCCTCCCCTCCCATACAGTCATCCGCTGCCCTGTTATAGAGAAATGTCCTTGCCATGGAGCCCAATTGTTTGTGCAAGGCTGAGCCTGGTGTGGAAGGTGGGTGCTGGAGCTTAAGAGCCCTAACGCACCGTGCAGATGGAAGTATTATTACAATGACCGCCAGGGTCATTTGTCCAGCTCCATCACTTTTTAAATCTTCACCTTGGATGATAAGTGATGCTGATGTAGGTGCTCCCTTGCTGGCCAGGTTAACTCAAAGAGTAAGTTGGTGATAGAACATGTCTATGACCAAAGACTTCTGCAGGAACAATCACTAAAATTAGATGGTAGCAAAGCAATTTGAACAGGAACAAAAAAGAATAAGGAAAAATCACATGACAGAGCAATCTGAGAATTAAGCCGACATAAAGTGAGAGCCAAACAGCAAAGAAAGAAAAATATTTAAAACCTTCCTTCTTTATTCAACGAATATGGCTGCCATGGAGAAATGAAGGCATGTGTGGCTTGAGATCCAGGAAGGCTTCCAGGAGGAAGTGATACCTAAACTAGGACATGAGGGGCGTGTAAGAGGAGAAATGAGACTTGCTTCTCAATAGATATTTGTTGAATAAAGAAGGCTGTCCACATGATTGGATGAGTATAGGAAGGCAGGGCCTCAAGCCAGCATTCAGGACTGGGCATTGCACAATCATGCATTAAATAAATGTTTGCTGACTGATTGAAAGAGTGGATACTATGTTCTAGGCATCTGGCTAGATGCTGGAAATAAAAATGTGGGTGAAATCAAATCCCTGTTCCTGGGAGCTCACAGCCAGTGTGAGGAGTGTGTTGAGAATCATAACTTCTAAACACATTCAGTTGATAACCTAAGATGGGGTGACGTGAGAGCACAGGGAAAGCTGGGAGACAGTGAGGAGATAGATAGGGGGTTTTATGGTCTCAGTTTCCCCATTTGTGAGATTAGGGCTTCCTTAGTCCCATCCCTACTCTAAGTCTTGCCCCAAAGGAGCAGCAGAGAAATTTTTATTTGGACTTGGCTTTGCTGGGTGGAGAGAATGCAGCCACTAGCAATTCTAAAACCATCTTCATTTCCCAGCATTCTGCTATGTAGTGTTCCAAAGCCATCGAAGGCATAACTTCTGATCTTAAGAAATGTGTTCTTTAAAGGATGTTACTTTTGAGAGAATGACATTTTATTCAGCCTCCTTAAATGTAGAATCAAGGATATACATGGCTAGGGTATATGTGATATGAAAAACATATGACCCAAGGTGACAGTGGCTGGGAGTCTACCTAATACCTATCTAGCCTTTTGATTTAGTATCAGCATCCTTTTATTTGGGGTGGGAATTTGACCTGCTAAAATATTGTGTTTCCCAGTGTCCCTGGAAGAGAGGAGTGGAAGTGAGATTTAAATATGTGTCAGGTTAAGGTGTGGCAACCCTATTTGTCCCTTATCCTTCACATTCCTCTGGATGCTGAACTCTGGCTGCCCCGGAATTAACATCCAATTCTAATAACTGATGAGTGATGAGCCATTATCATCCCCATCTTACCCACAGAGAAATTCATTACTATAGGTGCTAATTGCCCAAAGTTTCAAGGCTAAAAAGAGGCTGAACCAAGATTTGTATTCAGGTTTCTGATTCTAGATCCTGGGTTCCTAACTACCACGCTGTACTTGACTCAACTTGGCATAGAGCTGGGCCTTGGAGGACAAGCAGCATTTGAAGAGGCATGTCCGCTTCCCTGGGAGATGGAGCAAATGTGTGCCTGTCTGCAGGGCAGGTGGACATGGGAGAGGTGGTCCTGAGCAACAGGTGGCTCCTGTAGGTCAGGACAGAGAGGAGCCGAAGGTCAACCAGGATAACATCCACGCACATTGTCCATCAGCTCATCGCAGTGCCCCATGATTCTCTAAGTGCCTGTGAGAGTTCATTGTAAAGAAGGTGATGTCAAAGATGAGACACGCACAGTCCCCAAAGGCACAACGTTTGCTCTCTCTGTTCTTGCCTCCCTCTTTCACATGCATACAGCAATACCCATGTGCACCATACACACATACCAGTACATATGCACCTTTGAGAATATATGTAGCTTTGAGAATATTTTTGAAAATTAAAACCTGCAGATACAAGTATATTCAAATGTGTGTGGAAATTACTGCTGGCAAATATACTCCTGATTTGAAAATCATTGGTTTCCAATAATTTCCCATGAGGATCTACAAAATTATGTCTAGGACCTTTCCAAATTGTGATAATAGTCGAAGGAAGCATAATAATAATAATAATACACAGGTAGCATATTTTCACTTCTGCAACAACAATAGAGGCAGTGTAGCCCTGTGGTTAGCAGGGCAGGCCTTTGGTTCTGTCAGAACCAGATTAAAATTATGTCTCTCCCACTTACTGTCTGTGAGCCCTTGTGCAATCCAAGTCTTAGGCTTCTCATCTGTGAAATGGTCATGACAGTGAAATAGTTACCTCTTCAAGCTGGTGGGTGGAATAAGGATGTGGATTTTGTAAATCACTCAGCACAGTGCTTGTCCTCAGTAGCCTTGTGGATGTTAAGGCACCTGAAACTGGAGGGTTAGGCCCTCTGGGCTGTAGCTTGTATTATCTCTCATGTTCTCCCACGTTATGGGTCTCCAATTATGACTATTGCTTGAAACCAAAGCAAGAGGTTAAGGGAGAGCTGGTTAGTGTAGGTTAGTGTCTACTTTAAGTCATTTATTCATTCAATAAGCATTTATTTAGCATCAACTGTGGTTCAGACACTGTCTACATAAGTGTACCACTATTTTCCCAAGAAAAGCACAGAAGAGCATTAGGACTAGAGGAGAGACTTTCAAAAAGATGCATTTCCCATCTCTTCCCTGGGGCAGCCCTGTGCCATGCTCCACTCTGCCACGCCCAGTACTCATCTGATGGGGCTTCCTTCCTTTGCCCATAGATAGCAGAGTGCCCTAATGTACTCTGCCCTTCTTCTTTAACAAAACAAGAATTAATCTCATCAATTCATTCATGCTAAAATATAAACAATCACTAAGTCCAAAGTGTTAGCTTTTAAACTGTAGAAGAAACCCTGAGCTACAATGAAACTGGAAAGGTGGAATTTCAGGGATCATCTGGAAGGAGAGGGCAGCACTGATACAAAGGTACCATCTGGAATAACCACCCAACCCCAGGGCATCTCACCTTTGCTAAGGCTTGCATTGCCTTGAGCCTCTGTGCTTGTAGAGGCTGTTCACTCCCCAGTGGGGTATGAGTGAGGGAGTGAAGGAGACTTGGCTTTGCTGTGTTTATTTTGAACTCAGGGAAGACAGATTTCTCTTCCATTTACATTATGGCTCTGATTGTTTTATTTATTATTTTTAGCTGGTGGTGGAGGATTTGGTAATGCCACTGGAGTGCTGCCTTTTGGTTTTGTTCTAACTTGTTACTATTATCTAGTTCTGTTCTGTTTTCCTCCTATGTAATATAAATTCAGGATCTATATTATCTGAAACATTAATCAGGTTACAAAACCCTTCCCTTTCTCGTGTGAAAGCAAAGAGAAAGAGTGGGACTTGGCTAAAGATAATCATCATACATATTTATTTAGATAAGATTGTTTACTTCTCATATTTTGTTCTTTTCTTCTCTCCTCATCTCCCTCTCCCTCTTTCTCTCCTTCCCTCTCCCTTTCCCTTTTCTTCTCCCTCCCCTTCTTCCTCTACTTCTTCTCTCCTCTCTCCTTTTCTCTCACTTATTCAGTCTTAATATATTCTATAAGGTTTTACTTGGGAGAAGATGACATTTAGGTCAGTAATCAAAAGTTCTATATACTTTCATTCCATGCTTTGCCCTGATAACTCTATCTTCCATTTTCTGGTGGTGATTTCTCTATCATTGGCAAGTTGGAGATTCAAGATTCCTGGTCCCTGTTCTCTACTGGCCAGTGGCCTCACTGATGGGATGTCGATACATTTCAAGAGCTAGACCAGGATCCTGTTGGGGGCAGGGAGAACAGCACCAGGTGTTAGACCAGTGGAGTCAGACTGACCTGGATTCAGCAACCTCCATACTGAGTCTAGCTAGAAAAGAATTCAGAGCCAAGACTCAAACTGTAAGAGAATATTTATTTGGAAAATCACAGAGCTGGAAGAGTAATTTGTAGAAGAAATGGTCATAGGAAACAAGTTATAGAGGTAAAGGAAGGGCCTTTGGTAATTAGAAGTAAGGAAGGTAAAGATGACCTGTCTGGCGACTGGGGGAGGGGGAGAGGGAAGGGAAAGGCAGGGGTGTGCTCCCAGGAGGGAGAGCACACTGGGTCCTCTGTACTAAGGGTTTTAAAGGTGAGATTTTAGGGGAGGTCCCAGGGGAAGATTTCAGCAGAATATTCATCAGCTTTCCAGGTGTGTCCTTCCAGGGTTGGGGGTCTCTACTAATTGATTGGTCACTGCCAGGGCAGGGGCTCATTATTAAATGCAGCTGGTCCTGAGGTCAGCCCTGGCATGGTGCTGCTTGTCTAGTTTTGCTGCTTTTCTGGTCTTGGAGTTGAAATACAACGGAGGCCCAGATGTTATCTCTAGGGAGGAAAGGTCAGGGGGTCCAAATTGAATGACCAGAGATATGCTAGGGGAGGAAAGGTCACCCTGGGGACAAGGTTCCACCTTACAATTGTCCTTTGCTAAGCAACCAGGACTTTCTTCCCTGGTGACCTTCTGTACTTGGCCCAATGTCCTTGCTCTGTTCATGTCTGTCTAACTGCCGACCACAATCCTATAATTGAATATTCTGCCAGCCCTTCGTGTTGGCCAAGAATACTTTATGAGATGGGAAAATGCTGTAGGCATCTGGAAGTAGCACTTTAGGTCATGATGGACTTTGCAGGCTCTAGACAGAGCTCCAGATGGGTCAAAGATCCAGAACGAGGTGATGGTGGCCTGAGGCTAGGGTATGGCTGAACCAAGACCCAAGAAAATTACTCTGATATATCAGTGTTATCTTAGGAAAAGATACATCTATTTTCACATCCAGGACTTTGGTATGTAGATGTCAGCTATAACAAACTTATTTATAGCTCATCACGAGAATTAGTGTACCTGGCTTAAGTAAACCAACTGGACAGAGCCCTTCAGATGCCTTCCGATTGCTTCTCTTACTGTGGAAAGAGGTTTGTTATTGCAGGTGAAAGTAGAAATATTTTCTTAGCCAGAGTTCCAAAGTAATTTTTCACAATTTTTACTCCTCTTGGATACAAAACCCTTTCAAGTTAAAATAAATAGAAATGAAAAGATAGAAAACAAACAGTAAAACTAGAATCATTCGCCTGACTGCAGTAAGTCTGTGGCTCTTCCAGAGAGGAAATGCAGAGTTCCTTCTAGTCCTCCTGAGAGGTGGGCTTTCCTGTTTGTTTAAAATATCCCCTTTGTTTATTTTCTTCATTCAAAGTAGAACAACCTCTAGTAATATGAAGATGTGCATCTTCAATTTATTAAGTTAATTTAATCTCAAGTGGAGGCAGAAATTGTTACAAAGGAGAATGGAAGAGTTCAGCTTTAACTCATTTGCTTTTTACTTACAGTCTATAAAATATACAAAATGCCTAAAAACCAGTCAATTACACACACAAAGAAAAATAATAGTAGTATTAATTGACATTGTATCATACTATGCAGTGAAGCCATATTCAGGCAACTGCTAACCAATCAAGGTGTGTGTGTGTGTGTGTGTGTTGCCTGCTACATATATTCACAGAATACACATGGTAATATGAACAAACTAGAAAAACAAGACAAAGTTAATATTGTCAGCCAGTTCACAACCTCCTTTGAGCATTTTAACACTAGCATTCATGCAAAGAGAGAAAATATTAAAACCATATAGTCCAGAACCAACTCCTTTTAAGAAGTGCATGCAGTGTAGATGGTGTCACTAGATTAGACAACATGGCTTTGTAAAACTAAACTAAACCATCTGCTGGAAACCAGCGCACAGGGAGGTGTGACTGGGGCTTGTGTCTGCATTCAATGAGCATTCAGAGCACTGATTTTCTATTGTCCCAACGCCTAGTGATGGCTACGCCCAGCCTCAAGACAGATGACAGAAGAGATGCTTGATTATGTAGCACCAATGTGGTTAGGACTAGCTGGGACAAGACAGGATGGCAGCTGATCAGAGGCTTAGGAAAAATTCAGATAGTGTCTCCTGGTGACTGTTGGGTAAGATAAGACCACTAGGCTACCTTATTCATTGCTGGGGTATTTGGCCTCCGAGGCAGTGTGCTCAAGGGCTCCCAGGACCGCTGAATGGTGAAAAACAGGTTTCTCTTCTATTACTTACGGGTATGGAGTCAATAATGGCTTTTTAGGCTTTTTTTTTCTTTTTCTTTTTCAGTTACACTGAAGGTCACAACCACATCTACAGTGATCTGCACTGGCTGTTTTGACAGCTGTTTCTCAAACCAGCATTTTGGCAGCAGAGGTCCAAATGTCTAGGTCAAAATTGCTCCCCATTTGAAAATTAGTTCATACTGGATCCAATTGTGAGGTCCAGTCAGGCTCAGAAACATGTTGCTGATATGCATGGTAATAAATGCTTGGGCTGGAGTATTACAGCTGGTAAGAGCATGGACTTTGTGGTACGATGGGCCTGGATTCAAATCTTTAGTTATGCAACTTTGGCAAATTATTGAATCTTTCAAAAACCTTGGCAAATTATCTAATCTTTTAAAAACCCTGTTTTCTCATTTGTGAAATGCTAACCACAGCAGTGTGAATCTCATAGAGAATCTCACAGGATTGTTGTGAGGGTTAGAAGAGATGACACAGCTCTGCACATGGTGCCTGGTGCACCATGAGTGCCAACAAATGAGTGTTTGGTGGTAATAGTTGAGCAGCCTTTTCAATAAACTGACCAGACATGTCCCTAATGGTGCTAGCCCATGCGAGCACCCAGCTCTGAGAGCTGATGGCAACTCTTCACCTTTGTCTTGAAATCACCTAGTTGAAATCTAATTGTGCGAGCTAGGGTTGTGGGCTGTAAAGGAACAGAGACCAACTTTACACAATTTTAACAGAAAGCATAGAGCTGGTCTGGTCAAGACAGTGCAGATTGCCTTGTGGATACCATTGACACTGGACCCTGAAAACGGCCACTACAGCTGCTGCCCCTGTCCCCTGTGAAGTGCTGACTGGTCGCCCCGTCTACCCACTCAAACCAGAATGGATTCCTGTCACTGCAAGCTTCAGCTACAAATCTAGGCGGGGAGGTGAGTTGGTTTTGCATCCTTGGGATCTCTTGAATTTTCTCTTTGGGGAAAGACAGGCTCTTGTTACTCAGGCTGTTTGCGCTGCTGCCCTCTAGGGGCTGCCTGATTTTGCCACCCGGGTCAGAGTCCATTCCAGCACTAGGGAGCTTTTGGCTTAAGGGATATTTGAGGACAGTGGCCATGCTCTGGATACCCCACCTACCTGTAACAGCCGCAGTCTTCCCGGAAGTTCAAAAGGCAGACACTGGTGGACCTCCTTGGAGAGGGCATCTCAGGGACTGAATGAGGGAAAAGAAACTGGGAATAAAAAGCTATGTGCGTTTCCAAATGTTAGCTATGGTAAATTGTGCTGCTATGAACATAGGGGTACAGATATCCTTTCTGATTGGTGTTTCTAGTTTCTTGGGATATATTCCTAGAAGTGGGATCACTGGGTCAAATGGGAGTTCCATTTCTAGTTTTTTGAGGAAATTCCATACTGTTTTCCACAGTGGCTGCACCAATCTGCGTTCCCACCAGCAGATGAGTGGATTAAAAAACTGTGGTACATCTACACAATGGAATACTACGCTGTGGTAAAAAAGAAGGAATTCTTACCATTTGCAACAGCCTGGATGGAACTGGAGAGCATTATGCTAAGCGAAATAAGCCAGTCAGAGAAAGATAAATATCATATAATCTCACTCATATATGGAATATAATGAACAACATAAACTGATGAACAAAAACAGATTCAGAGACAGAAGAGCATCGATCAGACTCTGTCAAACCTCAGAGGGAAAGTAGGGGAGGGTGGGGGTAAGGGGGAGAGATCAACCAAAGGACTTGTATGCATGCATATAAGCCTAACCAATGGACACAGACACCAGGGGGGTGAGGGCATGAGTGGGGGGTTGGGGGGCCAATGAGGGGATAAGTACACATATGTAATATCTTAATCAATAAAGAAAAAAAAGCTATGTGCGGGGATGTGAATATGGGAGAAGAGATCATTGTGCTGAGAAGAATGGTCAGCCGAGAGAACTGATTCAACACCCCCAGCACACAGGTGTGCATTCCTGAGCAGGGTGAGCACCTGGGTTGCTGGGAGGGCAGCTCAGAACATTGGATTCCTTGTCAGCTGGCTCTGGCATGGACTCTCTGAGTCCCAACCCTGTGTACTGAGGAGGGTTGAAGAAGCTCCTCGTGCCCCTACTGAGTGCTCATGGAACGTTCACTCCTAGCTAAGCCAAGTTAGGAAAGTCAGGAAAGACCACCAACACCTCCCTGACCCCAGATCCTTTATATGGAGGGAAAAGAGTCAACCAACATCAACTTTTCTGGGTATCACTGGTTTATTTAGACTTGACATCATACAACCTGATTATACTTTTTGCCTATTCCCAGGCCTTAGACTGGAGACAGGAGGACAGACCCACCCGAACATGGTATTGGGGCTTCCAAAGCAGTCCTTGTGCACTTCTTGCCTCTTGGGGAAACGAGGAAACAGACAGAAGAAAATAGCAGCACTTCTACTTACTACTATTCTTATGGTAAAAGTAAGAGAAAATTAAGGTGTTCTAATTTTGTATACACTCATTTGGTCTGTGTATCAGGAGGTCTCAGGTCTCAGGTCACCTGTCAAAGGCTCAGCCCCAGTGGGACCTTCACGGGCGGTGGGCAGCAGCCTCTCTCCCACTCCCCTTGCATTTCTACAAACTAAGAACTTCAGATGGGAAATATTTACAAAACTTTGTAATGAGGTTGTGGGGTAGCATGAACATGTTTTGTACTACCTTGAGATTTACTGTTATGGTAAAGTTCTTAGGAGAGTTGTCTAATAGGAAAATAAGTAGTATGTTTTTTCTTATTAATGAAAGCCAACATGTTTCAGAAATTTTATCTTTTTCTGTGATAACAACTCCATGTCAGTGGGAAGTTACTTAGCAGGGTGTTGTTGTTGTTTGGTGGGGAAGAGGAAAGCACTCTCTTAGATAAGCAAGGCTCAAAACTAAGTAATATTTATTAGATTACTTTCAAAGCAAAGGTGACTTTAACAAAATAAATGAGGAAGAGACTGTTTTTGAAAAGAGACTCATGCTGCCAAAATATTGAAAATAGATGTTTGGTATTGTTTCAATTACTATGTGGTTGGTTGCAAAATTAATATAAAAGGCCTCATATCGCTACTCATAAAACACTTGGAAAGAAAATTTTTTAACCTGTCCAATTTAATGCCCAAACAGTAAAGTACATAACTTTCTGATTAGTTTACAAAGAAGCAGGACAGTACAAAATCTTGATCGATATAAGAAAATGGACATTGTTTAGCCAACTTCAGTAAAAACCTTAATAAAAATGATGGCTAGGATTTAAAAAAATGAATATCATGATTTAGAACATGATATAAAGTTTCTTTCGTTTGGAGTTAATCATTTTGAGTATTCAGCCAACATAATTATCCCAGGCATGAATCAAGATAAGCAGTTAAATCTCTTTATAACAAAGTACTAAAGCAAGATTTCAAAGATTCTTAAAAAAGCATAGTCAATGATAAAAAGATTTTTGTACAATTAATAATAGATCTTGTTTAGTTTATCTTTATTTCATCCTTTTAAAATCATAATCTTTATGTCTTATTAAGGACATAGCGGAGTGATTTTTTTAAATGATGGGTATATGATAAAAAAGTAGTTTAGAGACCTCAGCTCCAGATGTTTTATAAAACTGGAAGAAATTGGATCCCTTCCTACATATTAGGCAAATGGAAGATGATCTTAGAGGCTTCTTTCATGCCCTCTTTTAAGCAAAATTAAGAACTTCAAGGCAATTAGTGAACTTAGCTAATTTTGTGTCTCAAATAAAAAGTTAACCATGAAGTTTAGAGTATTCACTTTCTCAAGTATGTATAATTTTATATGTTGAATTATTTGTAAATATATTTACTGTTAAACATTTTAAACATTACCTAAATAAGTAAGGATCAAAAAGAAATGGTACCAATAGATTATAATACAGAAGTTGTTGGCCAATTGAATATAGTAAAAGGAACTCTAGTCCATTTAATTTAATTTAATTTATATATATTTTAAAATTGATTTCAGAGAGGAAGGGAGAGGGAGAGACAGAAATAGCAACAATGGGAGAGAATCATCGATTGGCTGCCACCTCCTGCACACCTCTCACTGGGGAGTGAGCCCGAAACCCAGTCATGTGCCCTGACCGGGAATCGAACCGTGACCTCCTGGTTCATAGGTCAATGCTCAGCCACTGGGCCACACTGGCCAGGCTAATTTCTATTTTCTTAAAAGACCTGGTTTTAGTTTCTAATTTTGATACATTTAAATAATGGGTTATTAAATAACATCAGCGCTCTTGTAAATAATATGCTCTAAAGTGGAAGTTTAGAGAATGTTTATGTCACATCAACTTTATCACAAAGATTTATATAGTCTACATGGTCAGTGAAATCTAGCTATTTTCATATAGCTCTTTATGATTAATATTTTACTTGCTTTTAATCACAGAATCCCGTGGAGTTAGTAATACAGCAGCATTTGGATTTTCTGTGTTTTACCTGCGTACTTTGGATCCATCAGTCTATTGTCTCTACCAACTAGTTTCTCATTAATCACCACCCAGTCTACATACATGCTCTTTTCACATCATGTCCCAGAATATAGCTAAACCGGATAATCCTAAACTATTTGGTCTGTTCAACTCCTATACATAAAGTTACCAGTAAGTGGAAAAGGACATTGTATCTGTTAGGAATTTGCAATAGTTACTGAACAATTTGAAATATCCAATCTATTGAGCATTTACAATGTACCAAACACTGTTTCAGTACCAAACAAATAAGTGAATAAGTGAAATTACTCAATTGGTCCATCATAGATAGAGAACATTTTTTTTTTACTAAATTATATTGTAGGTAATTACATGATTACATATGGGTTTATTTTGTGTCTATTCAGCAAATTGGAATGACTAAGCTACTCTAATAAATATGATCAATGAACATGGTTAAACTGAACGTGGTCAATCCCGAACTTTGTTATTAATGTCTTTAAGATAATTTAAAAAATACATTTTCCAACTTATTGCCTTAAAATCTTTCTGCTTAATCCAAATTTTGACCCTAAGTTTTCAGAGTACTACAGAAATCCAGGGCCCTGCATAGGATTTGCTTCCTATTGGATATCGGAGAACTCTTGTCCCAATTGCTTCCAGATGTCTTCCTGACCCACACCAGCAACTCTAGAACATATGCACTTGTTTGGGGGGAGGACATAATCTTTTAAAATCAGAATCTGCTTTTTAAATCTTCAGTGTATGAAACTGGACTATTAAAACTTGAACATTTGATGTGGTCCAACTCACATCTCTTTTTCTTATGTATTTAATGAATGTTAATTAGTTGTTTTAGGTTTCCTCCTAATGATTTACTTTAAGAAATCTCGCCAAGTGTATATTCTTTCAAGATAATACCAAATAAAACATACATCTAAAATGTCACATGTGGTATGCTGAAAACAATTATGTTTCTTCATTGAAAAGTTTTTTTCTTTATTTTTTTATAGTTTCATTGACTCTTAGAATGTCAAATAAAAATGCTAGGATAAAAGTTAAATTATATTCACAGGAACAATAACAAGTTGTCCCAGAAGGCAGAACTATTTGTTTGATCATAACAAGTAAATATCAATATCAGTGTAGAGCTAAATCTTCAGACACCAAATGGCAATCATAAACTTTGAAAATTAAGTCTATTTAAAAAACAAAACAAAGAGAAAAAAACTATAAAGGAGAAGAAAGCTTTGAAACATGTCTGTAAACCATGTGAAATGCATTTAGGTTTTTCAAAGAGAATTGAAGGCTTTCAATTTCAACAGAAGTAAATTGCTGTCATTATTAATAGCAGACATGTGGCAATGTTTTAAATTGAGACCAAAAGTGTGGGTTCTTCCAAGTACAAAGACAGTGCAAACTCAGAGGCTGTGAAATATTCAATGTCAATTTTTAGTCCCCCGGAGTGTTCTTATGTCTAAAATTTCGGTGTGCAGCCTTAGAGCTCAAGAGATAAAATATTTTGAAAAGTAATGATAAGCCTTTGAGCAGAAAAAAATAATGTTTGTCATCATGATTCAATGAAAGTAACCCAGATGGGTGGTTTTTTAATGAGAATTAGGACAAAAATTCACAAACACAGACACTTAAAGCAGCATGTGAACACCTGCTCCTTCGTTATTCTCTGACACTCTTTCTCTTAGGACTACACACGTCTCTGCAAAATGGTTTGACTTAGGACACTAAATCTAATTTAATAAGTCTGTTCCTTTCATATAAGAGTTAATAAAACTGTCGCGGATTTGTAAACACAGACTGATGTTGCCTGGAAAGCAACTGAAAGTGCAACACTGCTTCAAAGAACTTATAATCAGATTGGGGAGCTAGATAAGTGAGCAGATAGTTGCAGTTTAGTGTGATGAGCCTCATGGTACTGTACAGTAGGGAACTGGCCGGGCTGCTCTGGCGAGGGGCCATTGCTCAGGAAGGTTTTCTGGAGCAG